TTTGTTCGAGTAGCAAAATCACTCACTCGAGGCAAATGGATAAGAATAAGAGAAACTGTAAAAATGCTTGTTGGCTTGATATTAGCTGCTGTATCTTTGGCAGTTCATATCATTTCCATGGCAACAGCTACCAAAGAGTGTTGAATACCTGCAATCGAGATGCCGGTATGTAAGAATGAACTTTGAACCTCAGCTTTGCAAATGTGACGGTCTGTCTGTCTTTCTTATTCCTGTGATAGACTGGTGACCTTGACTAAGTGTATCAACTTACTTCCCTCTGTGACCTTCTATATAGCCATATATCCTGTGTGTTTTATGGGGATTCAGGTTGATTTTAATGGGAACATTTTTGGAGTGTCAGCTCACCAAAGCCAGCTCAGATCCAGAGCCTCAATCTTGTTTGCTGTCACAGAATAAACCAAAATTGTCACTGGCTGACGTACAATCATCAGGCTGAAGAAAAGAGTGGTCACAAACCTCGGACTTTCTAAGCCATTTGCAAAGCTGATTCCTTGATGAACCTTGTTAGACTGATTCAAATCTGTCATCTCCTTTTTGTCAAGGCTTGACAAGTTCTGATCTTGTCAGGAGTCTTGTAGTCTGCGTCTGGGTGAGGGGCTGGATTCCAACTTCCTGTTGGCTGCATATATCAGTGTCTCTGTTTGCAATTGGCACGCTCCTCATCAGGACTGTGAAAAGCCCCTGCTAACTGCCCCATGCTGCACATGGCCCATTTCTTTCAAGGTCATGGCTTTCACTTCCCTGTCTCTCCTTTTTATTTCGGTTGCTCTCTACAGCATTTCATTTCCACTTCACAGTTCTTAGTAATTTTCCACTTTGGGCGTTAATGTCCTATCATGCAGCTGTTAAATTCCTCTGCGAACATTTAAAGGTTTATTGCTTATACAATAAATCACTTAAACATTAGTTTGATTTACAAACATTCATCATTGTTTGTGTTTGTGCCAGCTGGTCTGTGAGCTTGCGGATGTCAATCAGATGAGTGCCTGAACCCTTTGAGCTTCAAATAGCATGTGTCATATTTCCTTCAAATGTGGATGTGAATGACACTCATAGTGCTCGTTCATTTCATCATCTGTATCAGGAACTTTATCATTTTGGTGTCTTATTATGTGTTATCCAGATTTTCAATGTTGATATAGCCAACTGTTATTTCCAACTCTCTCTGATAATGAATTTAATATTGCATGCAGTACAGGTGTTGGCGTTGACATAGCTTTTAGTTTACACTGCAAAACAAGGTCATGATCATAAGCACCATCAATTTGAAACTTTCCCTGCTGAGACCAAGCAGCCTTGTTTGTCAGAGTGGTCTGTCAGGGGGAGAGCAGGGGTGTTTGTGGGGGGCACCCGGAGGCTGGAAGGGCCGAGCCCCGTCTCTGTCCAGCATCAGAAAGAAGCAGCTTTAGATGTGTTCACGTGTATGTGTGTTTAAGTGTATCTGTGGCTATTTTCTACTTGTTTGTCATGGCCTATTTTCCTCTGATGTTCCAAGAGGCAGGATTAGTGAGATTAGTACTGGGCTTTCTGACTCTGTTCCCTGCACAAGCAACCAGTATCCAACTGTAATGTACAGCGCACACACGTGCACGCACACAAGCACGCCCTTGCATGTACGCAAAAAACAACAACGTCACAAGATAATTTAGAGCCCACTGAGGACCATTGGTTTTAATAACAATACACCATGCACTCACCTGTGTTGGGTTTTCCCAGCAGTAATTTAAAGGTGGACTCCGTGAATGGAGACAATAGTGAGTGACTGGCTTGGAGGGTGCGAGATGAGGATTCAAAGTTTCCACTCTGGCTCCAGCACAAGCGCTCAGCATCTCCCTCACGTCACCTCACCTCCTCACCCAACCTTATCTTCATAACACAACATGCTGACCTCTGTTGCCATTTACATTTCTTCTTACATTACTTCTCTTTTTATAAATCCTTCATTCTTCATCATTCTTGTTCCCACTGTGGTCTGTAAGAATTTCACTCACTATGGACTGTAAAATAAATCTAGGGGTCCCCACAACTCTTATATCTAATCACTTTGCTAACATAGTGTTGCTGAACCACTATAGTTCAGGGCGTCGGTGGGGGTAAGTAAAATTCAAAATATGGAAATTGTCAAAGCTGTAAGACATGTTTATGTGTATTTATACATTTATAGACTCTAAATTAGTGGGTTTTTTTAAATAAAGTTTTTTTATATGGTTCCTTATAAAGAAGTAAGCAGATAGTATTTTACATGTTTAGTGGAATATGTTTGTAGAAAAACATGGCAAGTGTCTATCATACCAAAGCTGTTGGCTCTTTTGTTTACTGTATAGTTAGTAATTCATTTTGTTTATATATGACTACTGTCAGTGTGTTTTTTTACTGCATGCCAGTTTTTGTGTCTCTGTCTCCCACTTGTTCTGTTTCATTACCCACACCTTACTTTAAGTAAGGAAATAGAGCTTCTTATTCTGTCAGGTTGTTAAAACCCTGCAGAGACACCGAGAGAGAAACAGCTGGGTTTAGCTTCAGCCTCCCTCCTTGTTTTTATTCTCTCTCTCTCTC